CCCTCTGCCCCAAGGAGCCCACATCCCACCAGACTAACTGCAAGGGAGACGGGGGGGGTCCATGGGGGGGTTGCCTTGGCTCTCCCCCTCCCCCAACATGGAGGCTCATGGATCCCGAGGAAAGGCTGGGAGGGAGAAGAGGCCAAGGGCTGCCTAGTGGCGGGAGGTGCCTTGGGCTCAGAAATGGCTCCCTCCAGACACCCCCCCAAGAAACACCCTCCAGCTCAGGGGGGGAGGGAGGGGGGCTTCCCAGCCAGGAGACCCCTCCCCCAAATACGGGTTGTTCTGCTTCTGGAGCCGCTTTTCAGAGGAGGAAGAGTCTCAGGCGAGGAAGGAAACGCACACGCGACCCGGGGGGGGCAGGAGGGGGCGCATGAAAAAGGAAGGGGAAGACCAGGATGGTGGAGAGAGGGGACCAGACTCCAGTCCAGAGCCAGAGGGACCCCTGCCTTCCTTTCCCCGCGTTTCCTGCCTGAAACCCAGTTTCTCCGGGGCTCCCAGAACCACATGGAGGCAGGAGACCCATTTCCCGCCCCAGAGCAGGGCTGGACCAATCAGAGGCCTCTCCGTTGGGCAGCTGGCCAATCCCCTTTCAGATTCCCCTGGGCCTCCTCCTCTCCTTCGTCCGGTTTCCTGAGGGAGTTTCCCCCCTGAGTTTCCCTCATGGCTGCTCCCCTCCCAGCTTCTCCTTCATCCTTCCTCTTCCTCTCCCCCCATTATTTGGGGCAGCTGGATAACCTCCCCCCCCCATGGCCTGGCAGGCCCAGGAGGAGCCCAGGAGGCGGCAGGGCCAGGAGAAGGGGTTTCCCGCCCTTTTCCGAAATAGGAGGGAACGCCATTTTGTTTTTTCCGGTGCCCCAGCTGCTCCCAGAGACGCCATGGCTCCCCTGTGGGCCTCGGGGGTCCCACGCTCTCGGGGTCTCTCCTCCCGGATGAAGGAGGGCGGCACCTTTGGTCCTCAGCCGCCTTCCTGCCATGATGGCTTGGCCTCCGCAGGGCAGCCTCTCTCCTCGCCATGTTGGCCCCACGGAGGAGGCCTCCCCCTTGGGAGACGCCAGGCAAGCGGCCTTGGGGGATCCGCCGGGGTCTGCAAAGGGGGCCAGGAGGGAAAGGCCCAAGGAGGAGGAGAATAACAGTAGTAGTAGTAGTAGTAGTAGTAATAAGAAGGGCTTTATCCCCTGAAAGGTGGAGGGTTCCCTCAGGGGAGTTTGACCCCGGAGCAGCATCCTTGGTCACCCCAAGAGTCAGCGCAAGCAGAAGGGCACCACCTGCAGGCCTAGGGGAAAAGGGGGACTCTTCCCCAGACAAGACTGGAGACTCCCCTGCTGGCCCCAGGAGCCCTTTCTGGATGGCCCTCGCTTGCCCCCCCAAATGGGCCAAGACCTCTGTTCCCCCCCCTCAGGCAGTAGTTGAACAGGAGAAGTCGCTCCCACTCCTGATCCCTGCGGGTCTCAGGAGGCAGTGGGGGGACTCTAGGGAACTGGCTGAACTGGGGTCCTCCCAGTCCAGCCCAGACAAGAAAGAGAGGGAGCTCAGAAGAGGAAGCCATTGCGGAGAAGAACCGGACTTGGCTGTTCTCTGCTGAGGGTCTACTGCCTTTCCTCCAAGGCTTCCTGGGGGTGCCATGGCCAGAGGAAGAGACAGCCCCCCCCGAAGGGCCCTGGGGAGCAAGCAGAGCCTGCCTCAGTTTCCTTCCCCAAGGCCTTGGAGGAACCTTGGGGTGCGGAAGGAGGAACCCCAAATGGAGCTCAGACTCCTGGCAAGTGGGGAAAGGAACATGAAATGGCGCTTTCCAGATGAGTCTCAATACAATACGATAAACCTTTATTGTCATTGTCCTATACAGAACGAAATTGAAAGAGATCATTTCTGGGGTGCGCACTATCCTGCACTATCTCTGCAGCTTTCTTATCTAGCACCTTCTGCAAATGCCTGCAGGGCCATGAGTAGTATGCATGAAAACATCAATGCTAAATTGAGCAGATACCTGGAGGCAGCGCGGATTATTGCGGGGGACTTCACTCACACAGATGTGAGGGCAGTACTCCCAAAATCCCATCAGCACATTGAGTATGCAATAAGGGGAGTAAGTACTCTTGACAAGGTGTATACGAACATTGGACGGGAATATGAGGCGCACCTCGGTGGTTCAGATCATGTGTCCCTGCTTCTGACACCAGTGTACACACCCCTCAGGAAACAAGGCCAGCTACAAACACGGATGGTTACGGTGTGGCCTGAGGGAGCCGCTCAGCAGTTGCAGGACTGTTTCCAGGAGACCGATTGGAATAGGTTTGACCATCAGGATCTAGAAACTTCTACATCAACGGTCTTAGATTTGGCACAGGAAACGCACCAGGGAAAGGTATGTTAAGTTGTATCCGAACAGGAAGCCCTGGATGATGGGAGAGGTTAGGAGATTCTTGAAGGCCAGAAACTCTGCTTTTAGAACTGAGGATCGGGTACCGTATGGTATAGAAAGAGCGAACTTGAAGAAAAGGAAAGCAAAAGTGGAGTACAGAAGAAAAATTGAGGACCATCTAAGAAATTATACTAGACAAATGTGGCAGGGAGTTCAACATCTGACTGGTTATAAATCGAGAAATACATCAGTAGTAGAGAGTACGGCTTCCTTGGTGGGAGAGTTGAAGACCTTCTTTGAGGTGACACCAACAGTGGCTCCAACAGGGATGGCAGAGCTATTGGCCTCACTACCTGCAGGAAATGCTGTCAGGGTGGAAGAGGGAGAAGCGAGGCGAATATGAAAGGAGGTAAACACGAGGAAGGCTATGGCCCCAGATGGGGTGGCTGGCAGGGTGCTTGGACCAACTGGCAGGAATCTTTATGAAGATTTTTAACCAGTCTCTGGCCCAAGCAGCCGTTCCACCCTGTCTGAAATCTGCTCCCATCATTCTGGGCACCACAGTTCAAGAAGGACACTGACAAACTGGAATGTGTCCAGAGGAGGCAACCAAAACGGTCAAAGGCCTGAAAACAATGCCTTATGAGGAACGGCTAAGGGAGCTGGGCATGTTTAGCCTGGAGAAGAGGAGGTTAAGGGGTGATATGATAAGACATGTTCAAATATATAAAAGCATGTCACATAGAGGAGGGAGAAAGATTATTTTCTGCTGCTCCAGAGAAGCGGACACGGAGCAAAGGATCCAAACTACAAGAAAGAAGATTCCACCTAAACATTCGGAAGAACTTCCTGACAGTAAGAGCTGTTTGACAGTGGAATTTGCTGCCAAGGAGTGTGGTGGAGTCTCCTACTTTGGAGGTCTTTAAGCAGAGGCTTGACAACCATATGTCAGGAGTGCTCTGATGGTGTTTCCTGCTTGGCAGGGGGTTGGACTCGATGGCCCTTGTGGTCTCTTCCAACTCTATGATTCTATGATTCTATACCCCTGCCAAAAAACCCAAAGATAGTCTGAATGATTTTTGCCCTGTGGCGTTGACACCCATTATAATTAAATGTTTTGAAAAAGGCAAAGAGATCCACGGAGGATGCTGTGGCAATGGCTTTACATGCTATCCTGACTCATTTGGAGAAAAAAGGGAACTATGTGAGATTGTTATTTGTAGACTTTAGTTCTGCATTTAATACTATTCTTCCGCATAGATTGGTGCCCAAACTATTAGACCTGGGACTTCCACCATGTTTGTGCAGGTGGATATTAAATTTTCTATCAAACCATTCCCAACGGGTCAGGATGGGTTCCCACGTCTCTGCGGATCTCATGAACTCCGGAAATGGTGAACAACACAAGCTATGATCTCGTTTGAGGAAAGGGAATTAAGATGCCTGCTTCCCCATCCCCAGTGGATTAAAATGTCCAAAGATTAGGAAAAGAAGAAAGAAGAGGAAGCAGGATTGGATGGACATTATAAGAGACCAGAATTTTGGATTGTGACTTGGCTGAGATTTGTTGGAACAGTTTTTCAAAGGCTTTATAGAAACTGAACCTAGAAGCTGGAGAAATACTAATTTGGATTATTAGACGATCATTATAAGAGTCATATTGCACTGTCTGAGTTGGTTAAGATTTGAAAGCTGGGCTAGGGAGGGAGATGAAGGGAAAGTGTCATCTTGGTGAAGAGGAGAAGAAGAAGAAGAGTTTGGATTTGATATCCCGCTTTATCACTACCCGAAGGAGTCTCAAAGCGGCTAACATTCTCCTTTCCCATCCTCCCCCATAACAAACACTCTGTGAGGTGAGTGGGGCTGAGAGACTTCAGAGAAGTGTGACTGGCCCAAGGTCACCCAGCAGCTGCAGGTGGAGGAGCAGAGACGCGAACCCGGTTCCCCAGATTACGAGGCCACCACTCTCTGCTAAATACCACTTACCACTAAATACAGCTGGGTTTATTCTGGAGTGCAAATTATGAATAATTGTTGCTACAGATGATTTTCAGACGGAGATGGGAGTTTTCTCTTCGGTGCCTGCCCTGTGGAACACCCTCCCAGCAGATGCCAAAGGAAAAAACCACTACCAGACTTTAAGAAGACATCTGAAGGCAGCCCTGTTTAGGGAAGCTTTTAATATTTGATGCATTACTGTATTTTAATATTTTGTTGGAAGCTGCCCAGAGTGACTGGGGAAACCCAGCCAGATGGGTAGGGTATCAATAAATCATCATCATCATCATCAATTTTTTTGTATTTTTTATATTTTTAATATTTTCTATTAAGATTCCTTTATTTCTAATTTAGGAGGACACACATAGGAAGAGGAGAGTTGGAGGTGCGAGGGACCTGCAAGGAACACAGGGAAGGAAGGATCTCTCAGGGTGGGATATGGGGAGAAGAGGGGGTCACACAGGGGAGAAGTGGGGGAGCCTGCCTTTCTCTGGGTTGACGAATGATATGATATATATGATACAAATGCCATAAACAGTATTTTTAGTTTATATCCCCCACTTCCTCTTTTCTATACAATTGTATTTTGTAAGGATTGTTTAATATTTTTTGTTTTATTTCTCTTTTTTTGGTTTCCCCTCTGTATGAATTCTTTGATGGCAAGTGAGATGGGAGCTATGAGTGAAGCTCTTTCCACCTTCCATGCACCGATAGGGTTTCTCCCCTGTATGAGTTCTTTGATGCAAAGTGAGGTTTCTCCCATCCCGGAAGTTCTTCCCGCATTCGAAGCACTGATAGGGTTTCTCTCCTGTATGAATTCTTTGATGGGAAGTGAGACTATCCTTCCGATTGAAGCTCTTTCCACATTCCAAGCACTGATAGGGTTTCTCCCCGGTATGAATTCTTTGATGGGAAGTGAGATTCTTCTTCTGACTGAAGCTCTTTCCACATTCCAAGCACTGATAGGGTTTCTCCCCTGTATGAGTTCTTTGATGGCAAGTGAGCTTGTCCCCCTCCCTGAAGCTCTTCCCACATTCGAAGCACTGATAGGGTTTCTCTCCTGTATGAATTCTGTGATGGGAAGTGAGGCTGGCCCCCTGCCCGAAGCTCTTCCCACATTCCAAGCATTGATAGGGTTTCTCCCCGGTATGAATTCTTTGATGCGAAGTGAGAGAGCTGCTTTGACTGAAGCTCTTTCCACATTCAAAGCACTGATAGGGTTTCTCCCCTGTATGAATTCTTTGATGCGAAGTGAGACTGGCCTTCCACCTGAAGCTCTTCCCACATTTCAAGCATTGATAGGCTTTCTCCCCAGTATGAGTTCTTTGATGCAAAGTGAGCCTGGCCCCCTCCCTGAAGCTCTCCCCGCATTCGAAGCACTGATAGGGTTTTTCTCCTGTATGAGTTCTTTGATGGGAAGTGAGATTGTGCCTGAGTCTGAAGCTCTTTCCACATTGCAAGCACTGATAGGGTTTTTCTCCTGTATGAGTTCTTTGATGGGAAGTGAGATTCACCTTCTGACTGAAGCTCTTTCCACATTCCAAGCACTGATACGGTTTCTCCCCGGTATGAATTCTTTGATGGGAAGTGAGATGTGCGCTTTGATTAAAGCTCTTCCCACATTCCAAGCATTGATAGGGTTTCTCCCCTGTATGAATCATTTGATGAGAATTGAGATGGGCCCTCTGACTGAAGCTCTTTCCACATTCCAAGCACTGATAGGGTTTCTCCCCTGTATGAATTCTTTGATGGGAAGTGAGAGAGCTGCTTTGACTGAAGCTCTTCCCACATTCCAAGCACTGATAGGGTTTCTCCCTGCTCTGTCCTCTTTTGTGTGAAGTGAGGCTATCCCTCTGAATGAAGCTCTTTCTCTGACGGGAGGTGTCCTGGGACCTCTGACGGATGTTCTCTCCACACTCTGAATGTTTATATGACTTCTCCGCTATGTGGATTCTGTTGTGCTCCCCCTTGTTCTTCCCTTCCCATTCATCTCCATCTGCAATGAAGAGAGAAGAGAATTAGAGCCTCAGGAAGAAATGGAGCTCCAGATCATTGAACCAAGATAATTAATGCTTGTGATAGAGGAAGAACTAAAATTAGTTGGATGTGGGGCCTCTGTATAGTTTTCACTGCCTTTGTTGGCCGGTATTTACTGACATATTGCTTGGCTTTTATCTGGAATGGATTTTGTTCCTGCTCAATCCTGGAATCCACTCCATCTCCAAGGTCAGCCATCTCTTTGGTCAATGAAATGCAAACAGAAGCAAAAACAACACGCAAATGGCATGCGAAGACTTAGTCTTCATATTTGTATCATTTATTAGTCCTATGATCCTTGTTTTTAAAAGCAAATAAGAAGTTATTCCAAAAAGAAAAAGACAACACACAGAGGCCCCATCTGCATTCAAACTGCAAAGCAGGATCAGTGAGTTTTCTGGCATTGGCAGGGCATTCAGATCACAGAACTGGTTTTAGATATTTAGAGCTGCCAATTCATTGCGTCGGGCAGGGAGCTGTGATCTATTCCTGGCTCAAATTGCCTGCAGATGACAAAGGCACAGGCAGGCAGGCAGGTAGGTTGGGGAGCCCGAAAAGGTGCTCCCCTTCTCCATCTCCATCCTGTGAGGAGAATCAGAACTTACAGGGTTAAACAGTTCTGAGTGACGTCTCACATTCTGAGGCGTGGCTATGTTCACAGAGGGGTGTGCTTCTCTGTGTGTCTTTCTTCTTTTGCTTTTGCCGAGAAGTGGAGAGCATGTCTGGTTTTTCGCCAGACTGAATTTACGATGTTATTCTACGCAATAAAAGACTGTTGGAGATAAGCAAGAAGCCTGCGTGCAGCCTGAGTTATTACCCACACAAGCAACAGTTTTCCCCGCTGCATAAACTCTGCTAAGAGGGCCAAAGAGGCTGGAGGAGGTTTTTACCGGCACGGACAGCAGTGGCGCAGCTAAGAAGAGTGCCAGACGCCATCTTGGCCCCATAGGTTATGGAAGTCAGCCAAGCTTTGGAAGCTGTTGCTGAGTTGTGCCTGTGTGTGGGAGAGCCAGCTGAGGAGAAGCTGGAGCCAGTTGGAGCTGTGCCTAACGTTTGAGGCAGAGAGGAGCTCGCTGGGGAGGATCTGGTCTGCTGAACCGGGTGCCGGAGGAGCTGCTGTTACGTGAGTACGCTGAGCCCCGGGGAGAAGATGGCAGACGGCCAGGGTTCATATTCCGTCCCGTTTGAAAAGCTCACAACCCAGTCCTGGGATATCTGGGTTAGAAGAGTAAGGGGGTGGTTTTTGGCCACAGGGCTCTGGAGTATAGCCCAGAAGGAGCCGGCACCACCCACACCAGTTGCTGCCGAGGTTGACGCAGCAGGCTTTGAGGCTGCTTTGCTGGAGGATAGAAAGCAGAGAGTGCAAAGGGAGCTCTGCATGTTGAAAGCAAGCATGGACACTTTGCTGTTGGCCCACTTGGAGGGTGTTGAGTCGGCTCACGCTGCCTGGGAGGTGCTGAGGAGTCTGTGTGAAAACTCAGCAGGAAACCAGGGCTGGGAGAAAGCCGAGAGCTCAGAGCAAAGCCCTGAAGTCACAGCCTCAAGGAGAGCTGCAGACAAAGTTGGGGGGGGGGCAGAAAAGACCAAAAGCAAGTTTGTAAAGTTTTCCACTGTGTGTGACGAGGAGGAACGCTGTTTCAGAGGGGGCAGAGCTGGCACAGAGAGCCCATCCGGTTGCAGAGGGGGGGCCAGGCCAGCTGGAGGCCCAGTTCAGTTTTTTTCCACTTGTCACTGCTTTATCTGCAAGTCTGCTGACCATCTGCGTCGCTCCTGCCCCCAGAGAGTCAGAGATGCCGGGCAGGATGTCTCCAAGGTCACTTCCCATGGCAGTCAGCCAGGTTTCCATGGCAGCCAGTCCAGGAGAGGAAGCCAGCGTGGGAAGGCGCAGGGAGGACGTGACACAGAGAGTGAGAAGGACAGTTCTTATCACCTAGCCGCCTCCATGGCAATGCTAAGGGACAACTCCAGTGAGGAGAGAGTGCTGCGTTGGGTCATAGACTCTGGAGCCAGCCATCACCTGATGCCAGCGCCACCTAGTAGAGAAATGTGGAACTGCAGGGCTGTTTCAACTGGGAAAACAGTCGTTTTTGCTGATGGGTCACAGAGACATTTAACCACTGTTGGAAATGTGTTTGTTTCTTTCTTGCAGGCGGAGCTGGAGGTCTACGTTGTGCCTGAGATGAAACATTGTCTTTTATCTGTATCTTGTCTCTTACAGGAGGGGTACAAAGTTTGCTTTGAAAATGATGTCTGTTCTATTTCCAGGGGTGGGAGACAACTGGTCAGTGTTGCAAAAGGGCAGAACAACCTCTTTGTTCTGGAGACACCTCTGGAGAGTGAGGGGGACGCTGAAGAAGCACAGGCGAAGTGTGCAAACGTTCCACCTCATGATTCATGTGCTTGTTTGTGGCACAGGAGAATGTCACATGGCTGTTGGGAAGATATCCAGATGTTGCCAGAATGCACTAAAGGTTGCAAGATAAAAGCATGTGACCGATCCCTAGATTGTAGGGCATGCAGAAGGGCAAACGTGAAAGGGTGCAGTTATCCCAGGTTGGAGAGGGTAACCACAAAGCCTTTTGAGCTTGTACACACAGTCCTTTTTGGACCCATGCCAAAGCCGAGTCTGGGCGGGGCCAGGTTTGTGCTGACGCTGACAGATGATTTTAGCCAAAATGGCTGGTGCTTCTCGTTGAAGGAGAAAAGCGAGGCAGCGCAACTGATCAAAGATTGGGTTGCGGCAGTGGAACTACAGTTTTCCACCAAAGTGCAGGGGTTCAAGAGTGACCGAGGTGCAGAATTTACTGGGTCTGCTCTGCAGAGTTTCTTCCGCCAGAAGGGAATATGTCACAGGTTGACGGTTGCTACTTCTCCTCAGGAGATTGGTGTGGTGGAGTACAGGAGTAGAACACTGGCTAAAGCTACTGACGTTCTACTGGTGACTCTGGTTTGCCTCAAAGTTTTTGGGGGGAGGCGATAAAGACGGCCAATTTCACGATAAACAGGTCCTACAATTCAGTGGTAGGTGACACCCCGCATTTCGTGCTCCACGGAAAGAAGCCGAAGCTGCATTTCTTCCGTGTGTTTGGTTGCCAAGCCTGGGTACTTGTGCCAAAGGCTCAATGAAAGGAAGGTGACCCGAGGTCCCAGAAAATGATCTGTGGATATGAACCTGCGACAAAGGGGTGGAGGTTTGCATATCCAGAAGGTGATCAGTTCAGGATTCTAATCAGCAAACATGCCGAGTTCTGTGAGCAGAATGGTTTGTCAAGGATCCATGCGAGTCCTGACGTTCTCTCAGAATGTCTGTCTGATTCTGAGGAGGGAGAGGCAGAAGCTGAACCTGTTGATGAGGACCAGGTCTCTGGCCAAGGTCAAGAACAGGGTTGGGCATCTCCACAGGTTGTTAAAAGAGAGCCCAAGAGTGAGCCTTCGTCTCCTGTTAGCAAAGTGCAGAAGGCCCGAAGACGCAGTAAGTCAGAGGGGGAGTCTTCTGATGTCGGAGACACACTTGCTGGACCCAGTGGATCAGAAGGAGCACCTGAGACAGTGCTCAGACGGTCCGCTCGCACCACGAAGGGAGTTCCACCTGAGAGGTTTCAGGTCACCAGCGCATGGGTTGGTTTCGCACAGTGCGAACCTGGGAGTTGTTTTTTTTATAATGAGATTTTATTAAGTTTAAAAACACATAAACAAATAAAACACAATAACAGCACAAAATCTCACAATACACAAATACAAACAATTAACCTAGCATAAACAAAAAGAAAAAGAAAGAAAAAAAGAAACTCAGTACACACACAAAAATATCAAATATAAAAACACAAATCACTCTTTCCCAATTTCTTATCTTTTGATTAACTTACTTTCCTGACTTCTTCACACCTCCCTTTTTTGTATCCCTTTTTAACAGTTCTTTCAGCAAATTCATATCATTATCCTTACTTATTTTATCTTTTTGCTTTATAGCTTCCAATTTTAATCTATCTTGTTACTAGAACCCCTTCATTTCATTTCAATGTCATCAGCATTCATACATTTTATGATACTTCTGTAAATAAATTTTTAATTTCCTCCAATCTTCTTCCACCGACTCTTCTCCCTGGTCTCGGATTCTGCCAGTCATCTCCGCCATTTCCATATAGTCAATTACTTGCGTCTGCCATTCTTCCAGGGTGGGTAGATCTTGTGTCTTCCAATGCTTTGCGATGAGTATTCTTGCTGCTGCTGTAGCATACATAAAGAAAGTTCTATCCTTCTTTAACACCAATTGGCCAACTATGCCCAGGAGGAAGGCCTCTGGTTTCTTCACAAAAGTGTACTTAAATATCTTTTTCAATTCATTATAAATCATTTCCCATAATGCCTTAATCCTCGGGCACGTCCACCAAAGATGAAAGAATGTCCCTTCAGTTTCTTTGCACTTCTAACATTTGTTATCGGGCAAATGATAGATTTTCGCTAGCTTGACTGGAGTCATGTACCACCTATACATCATTTTCATAATATTCTCTCTCAAGGCATTACATGCCGTAAATTTAATCCCGGTGGTCCACAACTGCTCCCAGTCAGCAAACATAATATTATGTCCTATATCTTGTGCCCATTTAATCATAGCAGATTTTACCGTTTCTTCCTCCGTATTCCATTTCAACAGCAAATTATACATTCTTGATAATATTTTAGCATTGGGTTCTAACAATTCTGTTTCCAACTTTGACTTTTCCACC